CTCACAAAATTCACTACTCAGTCCTCATGTCTCTTCTCTAAGTCTTACTCTGCAGTTATTTTGAATGACATGCAATGTCTGGAACCCTTCAAGTCAGTGGTTCAGTGGTTTAAGCTTTTAAACCAGTGGGTTGCAACTCTGAATGGTCCTTTCACAGGGGTTATCTGATACCATCAGAAAACACAGATATTTGCATTATGATTCATAACAGTGGCAAAATTACAGTTATGAAGTGGCAATGAAAATAATTTTATGATTGGGGGTCACCACAACCTGAGGAACTGTATTAAAGGGTCACAGAATTAGGGAAGTTGAAAACTACTGCTTTAAGCTGTGCGTGATTCTGTGGAATTACACTTGCTGCTACCTCTGCTGACCCCACTTCCTCTTATTTGAACTGGCTAACCAAATTCTCCACATTCTTCTACACTGGTATCAAGCATTACATTTAAGAACTATTTACTGTAGTCCAGGCTGACCCCGAACACATGATACTCCTGCCTATGCCTCCTTCAGCAAATCCCACTGGCATGTGCCATCACAACCATATCTCTGAATATGGAAGACAGTTGTTTGGCTTGAACTGTTTTGGGGGGCACCCAGGCAGCAGAATCAGGATCTGTCCCTAGTGCATGGACAGGCTTTTGGGAGCCCAGCCTGGTGCCTGTGGTGTGATGCCTTGCGCAGCCTTGGTGCAGTGTGGAGGGGCTTGGACCTGCCTAGGCTCAGTGTGCTGGGCTCTGCTGACTCCTCATAGGAGACCTTGATTTGGGGGATGTAGGGATGTGGGGTGACTTAGGAGGAAGGGCTGGAGGGTGGGAGGAGGTATAAGGGGGCATCTGTGGGTGGTATGTAGAGTGAGTAGAAAATTTCTTAATAAAGAAAAATGAAGAGAAAAAAATTAAAAATTAAGAACTATTTACTGATGCTACTTGCTTAGCTAGCTTCTGTGAATATTCCTAGCATTCTTGACTTTCATTCTTTTCTATGTACTTGATAAGACTAGAGTCTCCAGCTCAGTAGGAACTTAAACATACTCAATTTACTTAGCTTATTTGTCAATTGATAAAAGTTGACCAGCTCATAGATTCAAACACAGAAATCTAGTAACAGGGCCTTAGTATTTGTTCAAAAAATGTTTTGTTGATTCCTTGATCCTATCTTAGAGCCTGTCAAATAATGAAGAACACATAGTCTTTGCCCTCAAGGAGTACTTCAGTCCAGTAGAAATGAGAAAAAGAACATGACTCTGGCAAAAAACATAATCTGATGTAATAAAAGAAGCACAAAATTCTTAACAAGTACTAATAATTCTTAAATGGATCAAAGGAGAATAGAGTACTGTGGAACTGATTTTTCCAACCTTTAATTCTCTTTTCTAAAAATATTTCCTTACTACACTGCTGTGGGATGGTCTGTATGTCAAATTGCTCTGATTGGTCAATAAATAAAACACTGATTGGCCAGTGGCCAGGCAGGAAGTATAGGCGGGACTAACAGAGAGGGGAAAGGAGAGAGCAGGAAGGCAGAGGGAGTCACTGCCAGCTGCTGCCATGACAAGCAGCATGTGAAGATGCTGGTAAGCCACTAGCCACGTGGCAAGGTATAGATTTATAGACATGGGTTAATTTAAGATATAAGAACAGTTAGCAAGAAGCCTGCCACAGCCATACAGTTTGTAAGCAATATAAGTCTCTGTGTTTACTTGGTTGGGTCTGAGCAGCTGTGGAATTGGCGGGTGACAAAGATTTATCCTGACTGTGGGCAAGGCAGGAAAACTATAGCTACACTATACATATTTGCAAAGAAAATTTTTTCCTGAAAGCACTCACTACCAAGAAGCCAAAAAAAAACAATTTTGAATAGAATGTATTAACTATAACAAGATTCATTGTCCAAGAGACAAGGGTTGAGGCAGAGGGATCAGGAGAAAGAGGAAAAGATAAGAGAAAGGAAATGAAGAGAGATTCAGTCTTATATTTGGTGTCATTTGGCTCCCTGAATACAAATTCCAGCCCCTTAATTGGATTCATGTGCTTTTCTAGTGGTACAATTTTAATTTTGGAAAGTATATGGTTTGAAGGAAGGTGTTTTCCATTGTGTCTAAATGCTTGTTCTAAGTTAAATACTGCTTAGCCTTCAACTTGCCCAAAGTTCTCACAATGGCCCCAACTCCAAGCCTCCATAATAGTGCACAGATTAAATGAGAAAAGTTTATATCTCTAAGCTAATAATAAGAACTTAGTAATTGTTGGATACCACCATTAATATTAACACAGATTGTATTCTTCACATATCAAATAGAATGTGTTAAAAAAAAATCTTCTATCACAGGCTATGAGAAATGAACCAACAAGCCTGTACAAATTACTACATCCTAGAAACACAGGCACTTAATTGATGATACTGTTGTGCTCAGATCGCGACCCCCAGAGAGACCACCAAGGACAAGCAAGCCGGAATGCAAAAGCAAGGTTTAATCGTGGATATCCAAATGCAATACAAGCCTAGGCAGGGACTTCGTCCAATACATCTAACTCAGTGGAGGCTGGAGGAAGTGCCCACCTGTCTGCAAGCCCATTTTTTAAAGGGAAAAATCACAAGGTTACATCATTTAGGGGGTGCTAGTATGGGTACAATTCTGATTGGCTTGTGTCTAGGAATTCCAGAAATCACAATTCAGTTTTCCTTCTAAGGAAGTAGTTGCCCACCACCATTTTTCATTGGCTGCCCCCAGATGG